TCCAAATCTGAGAGGTTATAGTGAAACTTCATAAATTCATACAGGACATATAATAGACAAACAGATATGTTCACCAAATTCTGAGACATTGAGAATAGAGAGGTACTTGTAGATGTTATAAATTTAAGGATAGTAGTAAATCTAGGGAAACAGCTATATGAAGAGAACTTGTCGTCTGGAAAATTCAGAAGGCTTTCAGATAGTAGTGAGCAGGGATTTTTATAATTTTCACTAGTATAGAACTATAACCCACAGTCTACTAGCATAAACAGAGTTGTATACATATTTCTTTATTACACAAAAAGGAAAACAATAAATGCATAGTAAAGACAATATCATACATTGATTTTGAAATCAACGTTTTTAAGGGAAATCTTGCTTTCTCTGCCAATCTGAAGATGCACATGTGGGCCAGCACAGAACACTTATATGTCCCACACCACATGTACCCCTACCCCCAACATAGCACACCACACAACACATCTCTCTCTCACACACACACTGTTTTCTAAATTACTGGTAAACAAGAACATCCTGCAGACAAAACCAGAAAAAAAAAAAAACTTTCCTTTTGGAGCAAAGGCATCAGGTAAATATAAGGCAGGAATAAAAGGAGTTTTGAAGAGCATTTAGTTCTGTTCCCAGAAATTATATCTTTAATGAAGGAACAGTTCTTGGGCATATTTTATAGTAAAAGGACTGTTCAGAACATCTTGACCATTTGATAATAAGCAAAAATTTCTCAAAGTATAGTCCTTGGAACATTAGTCCTTCAGAGACACTTAGGGAAAGAGGGTTCTGAGAAGTCTTGCAGAAAAGACACATGGAATTTTGTTATGTATAAGCCATTCAAAGAGCTAGTAATCATCAGGCTACTCAAATCTAAAGAATAGCATATACAGCAATAGGCCATGAAACAAATTTAAAATATTTTTGCCTGATTTAAAATATTTATGAAAGCCTTGTTCCTTAAATGAAACATAAGCTAAATATTACATAATCTTGTTTTAAACAAATCACATGTTTATACTTACTTAAAATTATATTTGGCTTTATTTTAAAATGTGTGAGTTTTAAAAATAAGCTACCATTAAAAACTCAAGAGACTTGTCTGAATGCAAATAAACATGTGTTTATCTATTAATGTGTAATTCTATATTGTGAAACAGAAATCTCCATTTAGAATCTTTTCTATATAACCTTTATGTATGCTTGCAAATCCCTAAACCTAAGTGGCTTAGAATAATAATTTATTATCACTAGTGATTCTATGGCTTGCCTAGTTGCCTAAATGATTCTTCTGCTAGTCTTGCTGGGTCTTCCAGGAGACTGATGTCAGATGGTGGCTGGG